GGCCGGTTTATGGTGAAATGATGTTCTTTCCACTTCCGGATTATGGCCCCAACAGTGCTCACTGGAACATTCAGAAGTATAGAAATCCTTCTGTAACCAATGCCATCAGTATGTTTTGCAACAATAAGGTTGCGAAGGTCTTGAGAGAGCTCTTTGCTTTTACCCATCATGAAATGTTTCTTGTGTGACAAATTGGTCATGAGACACCTTTTTATAGGCCATCAATTGGGACTGAACCAACTAATATTAATTTCCACTGACAAGGGGCAGGATTGCTTTCTAATTACTGATAGATTTCAGCTGGTGTCTTGGCTTTCCATGCCTTTTTGCACCTCCCTTTCTTCATGTGTTCAATACTTTTTCCCTGTGTCATTCTACCTTATTACACAGAACTTAATTTCTGAACTTATTTGTTTTGCTTTCTTTGTATGTATGGATTACTTGGATTGTTACCGACATCTGGATTTTTACTGAATGTCAACAGCACCTTTAGAAATATATTTACTGAGAAAAATGGTGATGTGCTCAATACTTATTTTACCCGTTGTATATTGCAGTTTTATCTGGCCATATATCATTTTATTTTTAATTGTATTTTTTTCTTTAATTATTTTTTTCTGTGGTTTCCATGTAAAGTTGCATGAATTTTGTTATAACAGATTTCTGTTTCATAAATCCAAGCTGTTCTCCAGAGAGGAGGTTTTCTGTGTTTTGCAGCTGTGCCTCAGGTTTAAACAAAAATACACAGCAGATGCCACTTCCAAAAATGGGAATCTTTTTTAAATGTGGGATGTGTATTGATCTATGGTGCTGTATATCTCTTACAGGCAGTGATGGGGCAGATACAGAAGAGAGACTGGTGGAGCATCTTCTAAATCCAGCCCACTACAACAAACTGATCCGACCAGCGACTAATGGCTCAGAACTGGTGACAGTGCAGCTGATGGTCTCGCTGGCTCAGCTCATCAGTGTGGTCAGTGGACATGTTTACATATTGTTCTCTCATATTTACATACAATATGCATATGAATAAAGGTTTCACTAAACTGTTCTAGTTTTTTGGGCATGCTGTGCCTCCTTATGAATTGTACATCACTTAATCATAACATTAGTTCCCTTCAGAAGAGTTCAACCAAATAAGTCATCCGTGACAGAGCCAGAGCATTTAATGAAACCCTCTTGTCTATTCAACATCTCTTCTGTTTTCAAATTTGGTCGGTTTTCAGTGTGGTATTATGTATCTTAGCTCAGTAAGCCTACTTAGGCCTAAAATTGAGCTGTGACATAATGCAGTTAGGCTTAAAGGCTTCTGTATTAGCATGATTTTTAGAGTAAAACGATGTCAGTATGCTGTAAGAAGCGAGTATGGACAACAGGAAATGGCCATCTCTGTTCCCACAGGTGCAGCAAATTACCCATGCTTACTGACCACTCATCATTCTATGCTAACTGCTCAGCTGTCAGCCGATTACATGCTTCCTTCATGCTTGTAATGCAACAGCTCACTTACCTGGGCTGAAAGCTGGAGGAAAGCGGTGTCATTCCTGTGTAATTCATCACTGGAGAGCAGGCAGAGGCTTCTTAACGTCCTTGATCCATAAAAGAACCATTATGCTCAAGAATGTAGCCTTAAAGTCAATAAAAAGAGATATTAAATCATGAAATGATGAACCATGATGAATACTTTCTTTTTGTACTTCGTATTATATTATATTATATTATATTATATTATATTATATTATATATTATAATAATATATTTAATACATTTTAAGAAATGCAGGAATGAATAAAACTATATAACTTACTTAAATGTGTTGTTCAAAAACAGATTCATTTTTTATTATTTACGTAAAATTTTGCAATTTGCCTTTATTTTTTACTTTTCTCTGTCAGCTTGGTATTATTATTATATCATATTATATTTACTATAATAATAATAATAATATAATTAATACATATTAATAAATGCTGGAATAAATAAAAAGTATATAATTAATTTTTATTATTATTAAGTTGTTATTTTATCAAGTTGTATTTAATTTGAAATTTGTATCAACTTTTAACATTTCTCTGTCTGTTTTTTTCTTTTACACAGCATGAGAGAGAACAGATCATGACCACCAATGTCTGGCTTACACAGGTCAGTCAATACTTGCATTATTTATGCCCCATTTTATTGTTTTCACAGACACACGTTTGTTTTTCTGTCATTGCAGTGGATATTCCACTGATTTCTACTAAAGCTTACATAACTATTATTAGATAATTAATTTTTTTAAAGATTAACTTTAAGTGTGCATTCACAATTAAATACCTAACATTAACAGGTACCAATAATTAAAAATCTCCCGCCATAATTAAAAAACAAACAAACATGTGGTTAAGAGTGTAAATATGCAGAATATTCACTCTCACTTTGAAATGAAATTTCAATTTGAGCTTGTTTACATCATCAGTATCTCACAAGCTGTTATTATTACATACAAAACAACCCATGAAAATCTGTTTGTACAGATACAGTACTCTCTTACACATCTCTCTTTTTTCTCTCTCGATCTTCATCTTTCTGTCACTCCCTCTCTGAATCATCTGCTCATGGTCACTATGACCATAGATGTCAGTTGGCAGGAGTTATTGCTGCTGTCAGTACAAGTTACCCATAAAACTTTGCCACTGTGTGTGTGTCTTTCCTAACCAGAGTGTATGTGTATGCGATTGGTGTGTCAGAGTAAAAAATGTAGTATAATTACATTAGTGGTCACTATCTGGTCAAACCCAACAGGAAGTGTATTAAATGACCATCATTAGACATTTATCACTCTTTTTGTGTGTATTAATATGACTACCATTAGCTAGGCTACGACAGCTCTCATTTGCAGTCTGTTTAATCTGTCAGCATTTATGGCCTCAAGTAATTATTTCTAATCTAGTTTATTAGGACATTTCTATTAGTAATGAAAAGTGACAGATCATTTATACATACGCTAAATATACTGCTAATTGACTGAGAGCAGTGGTGTGTGTGACAGATGAACATGATCTTAACAGCATGTGGAATTGGTTACACCTCCTGTTCACAGGATAAAGAGAAGTTACATTTTCATAACGTGAGGAGGAAAATGTGGGGGGGAAAGAACATAAATTAATAGTGTATTTTACTTTTATCCAAAGGGTCAAGGTTTTGCCGTAAACTTGTGCTAGTAGGTGTTGTAACTACATTATCTGGCTGCAAAACACATCTTTCTCCATTGACAGCCATTCAAAATAATCTGTTTATTCTGCCATTGAGAAACCCTAATGGATTGCTTTCTCCAGGGATCATAGCCTCTCGAGTCCACCATGGTTATTGATTTTCACTCTATCCTCAGGAGTGGCAGGACTACCGGCTAACATGGAACCCAGATGAGTTTGATGGCATGAAGAAGGTCCGTCTTCCCTCCAAACATATTTGGTTACCTGATGTTGTTCTTTACAACAAGTAAGTCTCAAAGATCATCCCATTTTTGGCTCTTGTGTATTTACAGTACTTATCTAGTTAGTTTATCACTGTCTTTATCATATCTGATCCTTTCTTTCCATCACCCATACCTTTCCTCTGTCATTAGAGGGTAGATAATATTCCTGCTTATCAGTCTTTGTCTCATTAGCGGTGTTCTCATGTCACATTACATGACCTCACTGTAAATAAAGCATGTTCCTCCTCTCTCGCTGTCAGTGGAAGATGCTTTAAATTCAACCTAATTAACACCAGCCTCCCTCCTGTGTTTGTCTTTATGTATCATTGATAATCTCTCTGCAGAGACACCCACAAACAGGCCCCAAATACTCTCAGTAGATTCAAGTTCCATTTTCTACTATTGTTATGATATTTTCTGGATTATGTACCTAGCAAATGTGATGTATCTGCACCAAATGCCTCAACTAAACGGTTACATAAAGCACTTACATTTGAAGTGAACAGGGTAAGGCAGTCAATATTAAAATACACTGTATTAAAAGTATAGCCAAAAGATGTAATCATTATATGTAGGGATGCACAATATCTTGCCATGTGACTTGTGTGCTTTAACTTGTCTGGGTAATGTTGCTTAAAGTTACAATATCCAGTCTGTCAAGGTCATGGGTTTGATTCATAATGTAGCAAATGAACAAGCTGATAAAGTGTGTCCTTTGAATACAATGTGCCATCTGCTAAATGTACACGTTTAAATGCCTGTTGTCATGATTACGTAAACTCGCAAACATTCACACAATACTGTATGTGCAATGATACCAGAAACTGAAGTTACAAAAGTGTAAAGCTGTAAAGCACTGTTTACATGAAGCAATCTCTATCTACAAATTAAATCAGTGATACATAACCAAAAGTTTACCCACCTAGAAAAGTAATCCCACTTGAAAAAGTTTTTTTGACAATTTTACCTTAATAATAGTAAACCTTTTAAAGAAAAATAAACAAGTAAATGTGGTTGCTTTTTATGTTACTGTATTAATTTGTGCCATTAAAAAAATGACGACTGACGAGTCTAAGTGGGCTTTCACAGCACTTTTGGTGTGCACCTGGTTTCATTTGAGTTTGGTTCATTTGGATAATGTGATTGCTGTTTTCTGAACTTCTGAACCATACCCGAGTCTGTCTAAGGGACAGTCTGGGGTACAGTATATGCAACAAATTTGACTTAACTTGACTGAAGTGCTCCAAGCAGAGATCATTTATATCTCATTCCCACACACCTTCAGCAGAAATTGAGTCCCGCATTCTTTTGAACCTTTGCATTACATTTGTGACAAATGGTGCATGAGCCGTTATGTGTTGGCACTTTAGAAACAAAACCAATTTTTCAAAATCCAAAGCACAAAAGTGAGGTGAGCAATCAACTGTAGGCTATCCATTCATTTTGCCATCTTCTCCTGCTTAGTCATTTCCTAGCAAAAAAGGTAAATAGCTGCTACTCTGGTGACGCAAACATACCAGGGTATCTGCAGGATTTTTAAGCTAAAATTTAAGACTTTTAAAGTCCTTTTGTAAGACCTGCACAAATAAAATTAATACCATATAAGCGGGGTAGGGCAATGCCTATGGTAATATATTAAACTGTAAAATGACTATAAAATGCATGATTTACAGTTCAGATACAGGTTTTCACAAAAAAACGAAAAGTTTTATAAAATGATAAACTTCACATTTCAACCTTTAAACCATTAAGAAAATGGATGGGTCAAAATGATCCAATTATTCAATTAATTTAAAGAATTGTTATCAATCAATTCTTATATTAATTAAATAACATATATTTTACTGTCTTAATTGTTTAGATTTTTATAATGCATTATCCACCAGTCCACATTTACAACTGCAGCGTAAAAACATGGGTTGATTTTCAGCAGATGGACTTATTGAAAATGCACATTCATTCTCTGCCAACAGGTGGCGCTTTCTGAATGGCAGAAATATAGCAGTTTCCCCGGTACAAAAAGCAGCGCAGCACCTGACTTTGAAACAAGCAGTGCTCATGTTTATTTAACTACTTATTCTCTGGGGCGTTTTTGGTATTTTCGCCTAAATTTGACATACTCAAATTCAAATGTTTACCCTACACACATACAAAGGAGGAAATGAAAACAAATGGTTTCATTGTAAAGAAAACCCTTTGAACTACAAAATATGAGTGTAATTCTTTATAAATAACATTATATATTTTTCAAATATTACAATAAACACAAAAAAAACATAGGCGCTTTTGGAGTTTTAAAAATATATATTTTTTTTGAAATTCTGTAATTCAGGTTCTATTAGGCCCAGCTCTCTGCAATTTACTTTGTTTGATGCCACTACATGCCAAAAAGTACCAGAAAAAAGAATCTTTCAAATAACAGCTTCTAAACAGGAGTTATTACATTATATCTGAAGCGAGTCAAATTGTCTATTTCTGCATCTAAATGTGTCATTGTGAGTTTCCTTTGCAATCCAGAGCGGAGCTAATTTGCTAACCGGCAGCTATCCCTAACATTCAGAGCATCAAACAAACACATATCAGTTCATTCACACAGCACTGTAATAATTCATGTATATTTACTGTATATTTACTGTATATTCACTGAAATGCATAATGTATTGTACTTTTCTGTCAATAAACAGTGTATCAGATTGCTAACTGTGCTATCACGTTTCGAAACAATGATTACAATATCAAAAACACGCAAACACACGCTCATAAAGCCTTACCAGACGCACGTTCATTCCTCTCCACGGCGCCGCTGAACATTCTTCACCATATATAACTTGTAATATGATTATCATAGATTGATATAATCCGAGCCGCGTGTGCACTCTAGTGACGCAGAGGTGTCAAATTTCACGGCTCTGAAATGGCCGCCGAGTTGAGACATGTAATCTGACCAATTGCAGTCCACAAGCGACCACAGATCTCTATAACATCAGACGCGCTGGCTGTGCGCGCTTATGATACGGAAAGCGTGTTTCCCCCAGACGAGTGTCTATTGCGCAATCTGGACAAAACGCTATATATCTCACCGATGGAAGCACGCAGAAACGTGAAAATGGTCTTGTTTGAAAGAAGAGATCCTAATCGAAAAGATAATATAGAGTATATAGATATTTGTGGCTGTTTGCGGCTGACTGAAGCAGTGCTACGAGTATAAATGTAAATTCGCTCAGAGGTGACAAAATTTTACATCGCGATTCTATCGAAGATAATTCGATCTGTGATTGTCACACAATGAAATAATCTACATCGTCAAATTCCTGAGAATGAGAGTTTTCTTGTGATATATGACTTGACTTTTTTGTGAAAAATATATAAAATACACATTCTTCGTAAAAATTATTCGCAATGGTTAGGCGGAAATTCGTGTGTGGGACGAATACATTTCTAAGCTTAATTTGACTGCTTTATGAATATAAAAACCAAAAGGAATGGTATTCTTTGTAAAGAAGACACTCCAAGCTTTCAAATGAACCCATATATGGGCTGATACCATATAAGGAAGGCTATGTAAATGAAGCATAAACATTTTTAACACGATTTTGGACCCGTATCCGGGTCCGCAGAGTTTAACTGTAATCAAATTATAGCCTTTTTAAGTTTAATTGTCACATTTAGCCAAATCGCAATTCTTGTCTTTCCATCCCCAAATTTAAGACCTCTTGAAATCATAATTAAGACTTTCTTGTACCATTTAAGACTTTTTATGGCCTTAAATTAAAAAATGTACCATTTTAAGGACCTGCAGAAAACCCTGATGTACTGTGGCTCTGAACCAAAAACACAGTGTGAACCCAGTCCCAGATGGGTTTTCAATTGAACTCTGGTCCAGACAATCGATCCTAAATTATTTTATGTGATAGTCGACATTATGCCACAAATGCTATTGATAAAGTTTACTTTGAAGTATAAACCATCTCGTAACCTCTCTGTCTCCTTCCCCATCAGTGCTGACGGCATGTATGAGGTGTCTTTCTACTCAAATGCTGTCATCTCCTACGATGGAAGTGTCTTCTGGCTGCCACCAGCGATCTATAAGAGTGCCTGTAAAATTGAGGTGAAGCACTTTCCCTTCGACCAGCAGAACTGCACATTAAGCTTCCGCTCGTGGACCTACGACCGCACAGAAGTGGACCTGGTTCTGCGTGCGGACGTGGCTAGCATGGACGATTTCACACCCAGTGGCGAGTGGGACATCATCGCTCTGCCCGGCCGGCGCAACGAGAACCCCTCGGACCCAACCTACGTAGATATCACCTATGACTTCCTCATCCGGCGCAAACCCCTCTTTTACACCATCAACCTCATCATTCCTTGCGTCCTCATCACCTCGCTGGCCATCTTGGTCTTCTACCTTCCGTCAGACTGCGGGGAGAAGATGACGCTCTGTATCTCAGTGCTACTGGCCCTCACTGTGTTCCTGCTGCTGATCTCCAAAATTGTGCCGCCCACGTCTCTCGACGTCCCTCTGGTCGGGAAGTATCTGATGTTCACCATGGTGCTGGTCACGTTCTCCATTGTGACAAGTGTGTGCGTGCTGAACGTGCATCACCGGTCACCCACCACACACACCATGCCTCCATGGGTGAAGCTAGTGTTCCTCAACAAGTTACCTGCTTTGCTTTTCATGCGGCAGCCGTGCAACAGCAGCGAGCGTCAGCGTTTGCGCCAACGCCGGCGTGCCAACGAACAGCAGGAAGGTGGGCGAGCGGGTCTGGCTGCTGGGCTCATGGCGGGTTTGGGCCTGGGCGGCTCTTCGTCGGGGAGCAAAGAGAACAATGAGGCGTGCACATGCTATGTGAACCAGACCTCAGTTAAACAGTTTGGGGCAGAGTTGCGTGGCGGAGGGGGGTCGACAGATGGACTAAACGGGATAAGGGAAAGTGGGAGAGAGGCCAGGGAAGGAGGTTCAAATCCATTGCAAAGCTCTGCTCTACCTCAGGGAAAGCAGCAGCCCCCTACAGTCCTCACCCAGGCTCTGCTGGCCCAGGCCTGCCCAGGGTTCGAGGAGGCTGTAGACGGAGTCCGCTTCATCGCAAACCACATGAAGAGCGAGGACGACGACCGTAGTGTGAGTCATTCTGTTTCATAATCACATATATTAATGTGCGTATGAGTGTTTTCACATTAGCAACAATAGCATGCTATCATTCATAGCAGTCATAAGCCCCGTCCACACCGCAGGAACTTTCCCCAGGAACTAGGAACTTTGGGCCGGTACTCGTTGTGTTTCCACCGCAGGAACCAGGATCTAAATAAAGTTCCAGGTAAAAATTTGCCCCTCAGAAAGTACCTGCTCGCGAGGTAGTGCTTTTTCAAAGGTCCGGAACTTTTGGGGTGGAACTTGGGCGCTGAACATGCTGACTGGTTGAGTTCACGCATCATTGTATCAACCACAATATATTCGCATAATTTTTTTAAATATTACTGTTATTGTGTCATGAAATGTAGTTTTTAAAGTATTTCAGGCGAGAATGTAGTTGTTTAAAACTCAAATCTGCAGTTTATTTATAAAGACAGCGCCTATTTGAAAATGTGCTTTGCCCATTTCAGCGATGTGAGCTCCACACGATCAGCGGGCGCTCTGTGCTCATGTTTCCCAATGAGAGCAGCCTCAACTCGGCTAGTCCTTCTGACATTTGCTGCTGGCTCTGATGTCTCTGTAGTGGTTAAACATAAGATATAATTCGTTTTGGGTAAATCTAACAGGTAATCTTTGGTCTTTATTCTATTATTCTATTAATATGGTAAAACGAAAATGAAAAGAGGCAATACTGTTTGATATAATATTTCGTTCCATTATAATGTATGTACGTTCCCTGAAGTACATTTCTGCAGCTATTAATATGTTTAAATGAAAACGAAAAGAGGCAGGTGGTGTTTGATATCATATTTCGACTTATTGAAAATACAGTGAGGAAAATTGCAGTAGCCAAGGCGAGCTGACTGACGTTATCGAGTACGCTGTTGTTCCATTTGCAGAATTACCGGACTTGCATCATCCCATCCCCAGGAGTTCACACTCCTGAGTCCAACTTGCGAAGTCTGAACTACCGAGGATGCAAGTCCGAAATTTGCGTAGGCTACTTGGTATTGAGAAACGCGTGCAGACCTACGTCACCAGACTATTTGTCTAATCTTCTCTGTACTTTAGACCGCGATGGAAACGAAGACAGCAACAGGTCTAGGGGGAAAAAGGTCCTGGGACAAATTGTTCCAGGTAATTGCGGTGGAAAAGCGGCTTTTGTTTAAATAATACTTCCTGTTCATTGGTGTGTCTTAAATGAGTAGTGCCACTGACAACCAGCTTGATGACTCAAGCTGGAAATATGAGATGAAAACATTTCCTTTTGTTCAAACTAAATAACTTCATTGCTAAGAAGCTAAAATGTTATTAGGCCTGCACATTTAATTGAATAAGTCATTTTGATTGCAGAATGATCATGGCATGCTTTGATAATCGAAACAAGTGCCAATTATACCATTAAATTTAAAGGCATGCTGTACTGTAGTTCACTCGAAAATAAAAATTATTCCATCTATTACTCACCCATGTTGTACTAAACCCATAAGACTTTTGTTCATCTTCAAAACAAATGAAATATTTTTAATGAAACCTGAAATGTCTGTCCTTCCATAGGAAGTCAATGCAGATTTGACCTGTAAAATTTATTCTCACACATTAACCAAATGTGGTTAAGCCTCAGTTGACTACAGTATATTTATTGTATGTGGGTTGATCAATGTTTGTATGTGAATAAAAGCCTGAAGTAAATCTGCTCATCATATAAAGTGGTCATGTCTCTTAAGAGACATTTTCATGAACATTTTGAAGCATAAAAGTTTTGGAAGGGACTTTAAAGGGATTAATGCACCCAAAAATGAAACTTCTGTCATTAAGTATTCACCCTCATGTCGTTCCAAACCTGTAAGACCTTCGTTCAACTTCAAAACACAAATTAAGATATTTTTTATGAAATCAAAGAGCTTTCTGACCCTCCCATAGATAGCAACACAAATGACACATGAACGTCAAAGACGTTCAAAGACTGACATGGAAGAGAAGACATTGTTGAATAAAGTCATTATTTTTATTTTCTTTGCACACAAAAAGTATTCTCATATAGCTTCATAACATTACAGTTGAATCACAGATGTCACATGGACTATTTTAAAAATGTCCCTACGTTGCTGTCTATGCAGGGTCAGAAAGCTATCAGATTTCATCAAAAATATCTTAATTTGTGTTCCAAAGATGAACAAAGGTCTTTGGAACGACATGAGGGTAAGTGATTAATGACACAGAAGTTTAATTTTTGGGTGAACTAACCCTTTAAGTAGAGGGACTAAAATTTCTCATGTTTCCTTCAAAATACGTTCATTTCTGTTTCGAAGATGCATGAAAGTCTTGTGGGTTTGTAATGACATGAAGGTAAGTAACATGATGACAGAACTTGCCATTTTTATGTGGTGAATCAGAGGTGTTTAATTAGTCTACCAGCCTGTCATGCTGCTAAGAAGACTAATTTTAATTAGATTTACAATAAATCAACAGCACATTAAATCGTTTTTGTTTTTGATGTGTAGCTTGCTTAAAGACTATGACTACGTTTACATAGACATCAGTAATCTAATTATTTACCTTATTCTGAATAAGACAATATTATGATTATGGTGTTTACATGAGTTGCTTTTAGAATATTCCTTTCATTTTCTCGTACAGCGTTGTTGAAGCGTTGTTGCTCTTTTGTTTGCCGTCAAATGGTTGAGCACTGCCGTGTGTATCCTGTCGCAAAATGCGGCGAAAAGTCCTATACGGTGATAAAAGTGTGATAAAGGTATGTACATGTCTATACTGCACTTCGATAATGCGACTAAAATAGGAATGCTCCACATGTCTTAATTCGATTAGTGTTTACTTCGAGTATGACTTTAGCCGGATTAAGGTCATCAAAAATCTCTGTTTACATGGTAGATTCTTAATCAGAGTATTGTCTTAATCGTGTTAAAATCTGAATATTGTTGTCCATGTAAACGTACTCGATGGTATGCAGCTGTCATACTCAAAATAAGTGCTGCATTTTAATGTAAAGTTTATCCCAATCATAATCATGATCACAATATAAAGAAAATTAAGTTTGTCGTAGTCATCCAGACATAGGGTTTTGACGTCACCTCGTACTTCAGTTTCTCATCAAATCTTCTGACCAATCAAATGCTCTCTAGAATCCGAAGCGCCCGCCCCCTACACTATAAATAGACGCTGAACCTGCGGCTGAGATCGGTCACTTGTTCACAGTGTTAGTATTTTCTGTATGGTGAATGGCACGTAGTGCACAATGTAGGCGATAGGGAACGATTCAGACTGTAAATATGCTTTTGACTGGGGCAAATGAGGTCTGGTTTCACGTTGTGTAACGCGAACCGCAGAAGCGCACAGTCTGATCCGGACTTTGGCTCTTGTCCAGAGACGCGATCGCACGGAGCGGATCATATGCGCGAGTCCACATTTATTCAAAGACTATAGAATACCCAAGACTTGTCACTCGTATAGTTTTGAATGGGGAAAAATGTAACGCTTAATATGGCCGCTCAATCGCAGGAAGCACCGCCTTCTGAATGAAAGAGCCAATCGCTAATCGGTAAAGTCAGCGCTCTGAGACGTGTGCTCAGGACTGCGCATACGCAATGGCTGATCTAGCCTGAGAAATAAGCTTTTTATAACGCTATTTGAGCAAAAGAAACAACATTTATGATGCAGTTGTTGTCAGATTTCATTGGTGATTTCAAATTTAAATTTAATCATAAGCTTAGTGAACAGTTTGGAGAATTTGATGTTTCCCCATTCAAAGTGATAGGAGCTGCACTTGCATGCCCGAGAGGCGTTTCAAAGATGGCCGCCGAGTGACATGACTTGCCTTAAAGGGACTTTGATATATTAAACACTTTTAAAACTACACAGCCTCAGCATGATTATGATCACCATTTTGTTTTACTAAGAGTTTCATATTGAATCTAGGGGGTAATCTATTAGACTGTGGCTGTCAAATGCGCTTTACCGATCTCAACAGCTCTGACCTGAGCAGATATAAATGAAACGCTATTGGCTATTTTAAAAAGGGGGCAGGGCTGCTCGATATGACCCGCCCTGTCTTCCTTTTTCAGTTGAAATTACATCACCACATAGAATAACGGTGCGTGTTTCAAGGCACTTCAGGGGACCTTTAACGGTAAAATGATGCATCCCGTATGAAATCAATTGTCCCGTATTTTACAAAGGCCAACACATAGTTGAATCAACAAATAGGTATTGTGCACTGTTTATAATACTAATCGCAATTATAATTAAATTAATTTCATAAAAAGTATTAGAGAAGTTCATTTTTGTTGTGATTGCATTTTGGCGTCTTTGTTTCCATAGCAACGGAGTCTCCAGAACGTGCACCGTTAAGGCCCTTTCACGCGACCGCAGCATGTGGTAAAGCTGCGTGGTTTAAAACATCTATAGAGCTCACGTCCGCCCTTTGAACACAAGGCTCTCCAGATGTAGGGCTGAATGGGAAATTTATCAATGGATCTGTTTAGTAACTAATGATGAACGCGCAGAGAAGCCTGCTCACTGTGGACTGTCTAAAGGGATAGTTCACCCAAAAATGTTTTGTTAAACGTTTACACACCCACAAGTTGTTACAAACCTGAAATAATTTATTTCTTCTGTTAAACATAAAAGAAGATACTTTGAAGAATGTGGGTAACCAAACAGTTTCTAGTCCCCAATGTATTTATTCTCTACTGAAGTTACTGAGGACCAGCAGCTGTTTAGTTACCCACATTCTTCAAAGTATCTTCTTTTGTGTTCAACAGAAGAAAGAACTTTATGCAGATTTAGAAAAACCTGGGTAAATTATGTCAATTTTCATTTTTTGGGGTGAAGCATACCTTTAAAGTGACAGACACATCCGTATTTCTAAAGGTATAGGCTTATTGTTTTATTAAAATTTGGATAGTCTGTTAATATATTTCATACATTATCAGAGCTTAGTAGACATAATTATTATATTTTTAGGCATT